ATCAGGGCGATGACGGAGGTAGTATGACCTCTGAAACGTTGGTAAACATCGACCAGACTACACAGCGCAACAACTCAGAAGACAGAAATCTTCATACTCTGAGGACGGAGGCAGTATGACCTCTGAAACGTTGGTAAACATCGACCAGACTACACGGCGCAACATTCCCAGAAGATAAAAATCTACTCTGATGACGGAGGCAGTATGACCTCTGAAACGTTGGTTAACATCGACCAAACTACACAGCGCAACAACCCAGAAGACAGAAATCTTCATACTCATCGCCCTGATGACGCAGGCAGTATGATCTCTGAAACGTTGGTTAACATCGACCAGACTACACTGCGCAACAACCCAGAAGACAGAAATCTTCATACTCACCGCTGTGAAAGCATAACATCTTACAAAATGAATATGGCACGTTGCATATCGACCTCTCGTTTATATTACCTAAAGAACATAGGTTATGGGTGTATGAGTGGAGGTTACTGAGGAAAATATTTGGATGTGTGAGGAAGTAACTAGAGGCTGGAGAAAATTACATAATGAGGGACCCCACTAGAATAAGCAAATCAAGGAGAATTAGATTGGAAAAGTGTATAGCACGCATAAGTGACAAATGTGTACAAACTTTCGCCTGGATAGCTTAAAGGGTAGAAGACAGTGGGAAGACCTTGAGGTACTTTGGAACATGCTCAGATGGATGCTGGATATAAAGAAATATGATGGGAGAGTGTGTTATGGATTCACCTGGCTCAGGACAGTGGATCGTGACGGGCTGATATGAACACGACAAGAACCCTTTCGGAGTCCATAAAAATATACGAATTTCTTGTCTGTTATTAGCTTCTCAGAAAGGTCTTGGCTCCACGGAGTTAAAGTGTGCAGATTGTTATGGAAACAGAAAATACATTATAAATTTGAAATGTGAAGTATCCAGTAGTTAATCCAATACCTAAATAAAATGCTAACTTTTTCTTGTGCGCTCTGATTTAATAGAAAATGTATAATATGCAAGGAAATAAAGAGAAAACCCTCGCCTCGCAATATTGGCTTAAACCACCAAATTCCATAACTGACCACAACTTTTCGTCCACCAATAAAAGAGCTGGATGGTTTGTCGGTAGGTGCGGTTAACAGTAACTACCTTCGAGCACTTCAGATGTTTGGTGGCCACCATCTCGTGAAGAGTAGGAGCACCATAAAAAAAAAGACACTAGCGCCAGTTATTATCTAGCCGATACTGGGTAAGGCTGTATCGCATTCTTCCATTGCAGGCCCCAGAAAATCGTGGATCAGCCAAACGCTGGATCGCTCCTTCTTCCAGCATCAGAAACAATGGCGCCATTACCTCGAGAAACAATTACCTCCAGGTCTTGGCGGGCATTAAATGATGCCCCCTCCCCCACGAGATAACAATGATTGCTTTCCGAATCCCACAAAAGAAAAACTTCTTTTTCTTTCGAGATCTGAGAGCGAGGATTGTGATCATCTCAACACATCCTTGCCCTTGCGTTGCTGTTCATCTGCCGAAAACACTGGCGAAACAAATTAGACCTTCGTATGTTTACAGCTGGAAATAGTTTTGTGATCCAGTCCAGAATCTGAAGCCGGTGTTTTAAAGTGAAATCGTTGAATATCGATTTGTTTTTTTATAAACGAGGAAATATCTTAAGGTTCTTCCAGGGATTCGGGGTGATTATTGCCGATCTGTACAGACAGCTGCTCTACCGACAATAGCAAACCGATAAATCCGAATGATAGCTTTAATCGTTCTTGGGCTTACGATACCGTCCACATTTACGGAAGTACACGACACTAAGTGCGAACAGTCAGACGAAACTTCAGAGGAAAATGATCTGTTGCAGAAATATATCTGTGTAACTGACATTAACAAGCCTGTAAAAATAAATATACCACAAAATAATTAAATGCGCACAGGTCTTAGTCTGTAATCTGACAAATGAAGTAAACCCAGATTTATGTCACATTTAATGTATTTCAGATTTCTTTCAAGGAAAATTACGCATAGAAATTTTTCAGAAAATTGTGTAATCATTAATATATGTTCCTGCCTCATAATACAGGTTGTACCAACTGAAGGGGACAAGCATCTAAAGTCTTTCCTCAGTACTATAAAAATATATAGACTAATATAATACAAGTCCTGGTAAAGAATCTCATAATTCTTACCATTTGCGCCAAAACTACCACTGCTACACACGACCAAGCATTATTTTGGTAAACTCACACATTCCTATTCTAAAACATCCATACATAATGTAGAAGGTACACTCGAACTGATAACATCATGGACTTATTTGCAGCCCCAGGAGATTCCGCCAATCATGTCAACACAAAGAACACGATTTTGGAAACAATCTCATGAAATATGCATCAAGTGCTTTCCTTTACGTATACAACCTCCACTTCCCATCAGATTTTAAATATCTAACATAGGAAAGAAATTTCGAAGAATAATATCACAGGAACTAACAATTACACCCCAGAGTGGTTCTCTAAACGTGTTATTACTAAGAGTAAAAGCCCACTAAAACTCAATGTCAAATATTTTCTTTCTTATATTAATCTCTCACCCTCCATATTCTTTTCGTACTTGCATCTCCTTCACTTTCATCCGCATTCTCTTTTAAATTCCTCGTCCTACCGTAATTACCCTTGGCCTTTCTCATAGGTAAGGAGACATTCATACATAAAATGTTCATAAAATACAAGTTATTTTATTTTCAAAAGCTATAGAACATTTTTACACAGACCAAATGAAGACTGTTTCATGATTTCTTAATAAACGTAGCTCTACTTAATTATTTACAGCGGAAGAATTGGTTTTAATCTGAGTTTGGTATTACGGTCTGTGAATTTGCATTACCGCTGAATGTTTTCTTCAAAATAAATAAATGTGGTGGCCGTGTATCAATGTCAACATCACGAATCACTTCCAGAAAATCCATCTCATGCTGCAGACTGCCTGGGGTCTTTACGATGGTTGGCTGTGTAGAATGTTCAGCTTACAGCATCAGCTATGAGTGAGAACTACCAGTTTAGAACGCTCTGTTTAATGGGCCGAGACACGTTTACATGACAAATGTACTCCAAGCTACTTTAGGAAATTTTAAGGAAATGTTAACTTCAAAAGTATATTTGTTTCCCATACAAATAATAATTTCCTTCCTGGCCAAATAAATAACGTGACCTTTTGTACAGGCAGTCTCTAACATCAGTATCTTCTAAAATGAACAACTTAAAAAGCCAAATTTCGAGTTGCTATGGGATGAGTGTTCCAAAATATCGGTTTTATTACATCGGCATTAAAAATCGCTTTGAAAAATACTGTTTATGGATTATGTCTGAGAATGATATAGCCAACAATTGTTACTGTATCATGTGAAGAGTTTATTTAACTTAATTTAAGCTGATATTACTTTAATAGAAATACAGTTTCATAAAATGTAGTGTTGATTTATCGGTTCTGTGACTGGTTACTCAGTCGCTTTCAATTGGACAAGTTTGAAGAGGCAAGCGTCTTTAGAATAAAAACTTTCAGTACATACTTTTATTGCGTATTTGTATGTCATTTTTCGATGTCCTTGGTTTAGTTCAAAGGAAGGTCGCGCTGAGGCTATGTCGAGAGATATCCTTTCCGCCCTTAAGCGATCTCCTATATCATGATCGAATCAATAGCCCGAGCCTTTGGCTCAAATGCTTCTCTTTTTTCGGTACAGCAAAGAGGGACAGATACGAAAGCAGGGGATCAGACTTGTAGAAACAGCCCGGGAGAGAAGTGTACAGGCTACACTGAACAGATTAGGAGTATGCAGAGAGATGCTTCAAATCGACTTCTCTACGATTAAAAATCCTCCAATGTTCAAATCACGGGAAAGTTGTAAAATAAAATCCGCTTTTCAATAACAGTGTAACATTTAAAGTGATGAATTGTGACTTAATACCCATAATATACGAGTGTATGACTACTCCATGCCTTTGAGAGCGTAAAATGTATTCAGGGGAAACAGTTGTTGGACTGAAACAACTGTAATTCAAATGTATCAGATATGAATTCAGAAACTGTATTAGTAACTTAACTTTACACAAGAATCACAACGAAACTGGAACAAGAAGGGGAAAATGTTTATTTGAGCCAAATGTGTTGATTAATTATACTATACCAATACTGGATACAGCTGCATACCAACGAGTTACCAAATGGAAGAATCCATTTTCTTTACATTTGTTCCGATCATAAGCATTTTAGCTTGTCTCCTATCTTACAGAAACAAGGTATGGTATGGTTAGGTTAGGTTAGGTTAGGTCATCGTGCTTTGTCTCTGAAGGACACCGCGCTATTTCAACGTCTAACCATTTGATCGATTTTCATAAAACTTCCTACGAATGTTATTACATTGGAGGTCACCTCAACATTGTGATTTTATGTTTCCTATGATCAGTTGTAACAACATGATAGCCGCGAATTTGTGAGGTTAGAGCGACATTACGGCTATCCTAAGATAGAAATTAAAAATTAACAGAAAATCTGTCACTATAGTAACAACCTGTCACATGGAGCGTCCTACAGAAGTAGCCAAAATCAGGCATACCTCAGGCAATGCAACGTGTTATGCTCAACATGGTATTCCTACACTTATAAATATAATAATTTGCAAATTTCTTAAAATACGTGCCTCGTAATTACAATTACAAAAACAAATATTATCATTAAAATAGCTTATAAATCACTGTAATGCACGAAAATTTCGAAATATTTAGGAAAAAACCTAAAATAACACTCTTGAAAACGTAAAGAACAAATTATACATAGTAAATTCTTGTTGCTGTTCAGTTAAAAATACTGTATCCTGCATTCTCCTAACTGAAAACCAAGATTCAAATACACAGAACTCTAATTTTATTTGATCTTCGAAATAGACGTCAAACGTTTTAAGTGAAGGACACAGATTGATATTTGTGATCGGAGTACTTACGACATCTGGTACGCCAACAAGCGTTCGCTCTGTGCATACGGCTACCTAACTGGATCTGGTGGATTATGACTGGTATGCAGCCTACTACACGTGTTCGCTTTAAGGCAGTGGGCCTCAGACTTGTTAGTTATCTTACCACATCGGTGGTACAATACGTCACACGCTGCCACTTCCACTGAAAAAAAAATAACAGCAAAGTTAACAAGTTGGGAAAAATACTCAGTTGACATGAATGGATGCGTTAGTTCTCATACTGGCTTACAAACTGTTATTAGGCATGCACATTTTAAAACTAGAACAGTGTACTGCCCTGAAATAATGTGTATAAAACTATAAATATAAGATTTTAAGGTGTTATTTTGTTACGAAAATTTGGCTGGTTTTACAAATTGTTTACATCGAGACATCTTTCTGGTAAGATTTTGCTGTAAATTAAACCTTTCACGCCGAAGATTAGCTTAATGATATATAAATATTCAGTTCGTACCTCAAAGAAAAATATTTCTCAAATTAAAAAGATCGCTTATTTAGCAAGTTTAAAAATATGGACGCTGTTTACTCTGAGAATCATATGAAACCCATAAACACACAATGTGAGCAAAATTATTGAACATGAAAGAATGTGGAGCGCACAGTTACCTCTGCGCTTTGCATTATTAATTGTTCGGGCTTTTGTTCGATTCAAAACACTCGACTGTTTTTCATTCAACGTCAGTATTTTCAAAGGGACAAGTGTAGCGAAAAACACTTCCACGCCACTTCTCAAATCACCACTCAAGACCATTATCACAAAATAATTGAAAAGGTCCGATGCAATGCAACAGGGAAAGCTGTGGTTCGTATCTTTATCCTTTGCCACAACCACAATGTGTAATAATAAATAGACACAATAATAATATATTCTTAAGATAGTGTCATATTGTGAATATTCTAACAATTATTTATTTTAATCCGTCTTATCACAATATTTAAAATTTCTTATAATTAAGATAATAAAATATCATTGATGTTCCATATCGATTGATCGATTTACATTTTGGAACATCTTTTACACAACATGTTTCAGTTTTTATAAAACCATCTTCAGGTGTAAAATATTTACGAACTTAAAACTCAAATATGATTCCATTTGGTGATGTTTCATGCCATTTGTTTTTCAATTTTGGGCGAGGTGTTGTCTTTTCTTAATTTTATCAGATGTACATATCGGTCTGTAAGTAGAAGATTGAAAGAAACACTAAAGAATTTGAAAGAATTTATAAAAGAATTTTAGAGAATAAAATGCAAAATATATAAATTATAGTTAGAAAGTAGCAGTAAAATATAAATAAAAATAATATGAAATAAAAGTAAATCTAAAATAAAACATACCTTAGATGTAGGAGTATGAGAGTGAACATAATTTTGACACACCCCGTATATTCATCATTCTCTTCTTTCTTTGGTCCATTTACTACCTTTCTTCTCCTCTCCTTCTTCCCATCGTATTCTTTACACAGTCCTTTCAGCTTAGAACAACGATGACAAATATCAGAAAAAAATGTTATTTCAGAGGTTTCGCCACTCACATTACAAGTACTTCTCAAAAATGGCTAATATAGCAGGATTTGTAAAACGCAATGCCCTGTCATTTAATATCACTATGGTCTTTATGCACAATCTTCGTGAGAAAAAACTTCCTAAATAGTTAGAACGTGGAACACCCTTAATCCTGTAGCACTTTTAACATTACAGATACGAAACTTACAGTTTAAATCGCTTAGAACAATCCAAGATTCAAGTCGGATACCTACTGTCAAAGAGTCGATGTATCAGAAAATTAATATACTCATTAGACACACACATTAAGCTGTAGAATAATAAGACTTGGCATGAATTTGTAAGAAGAAATATACCGAATTTGATCAAATATTCATTCCTTTAGTTGCTAAGTTTCAAACATGAAACAAATCCCTCGCGCAAGACAGACACAATCTCTCGACTGAATTTTCGAGACTTATTTTGTAATTGTTCCTGAAGCACGAAGCTTTACCTGTAGCAAAGTCAGAATTTTTATTAACTTAGACTTACACTGTGGCAAAGACATTCATCCATCCATTCATAATTCCACCCATACACCTCATTGCACACTCTAACAAATCCCTCAGACATAAGACTTTGAAAACTCGACAGAACTTTCAGAATAGGCTTAGCGCTGAACAAAGAAACCGAACTTATTTTAAAGACACAGAAAGTTTCTTCGTCGAGACCAGCATCAAAATGCTTGAGATCATGAAGAAAGTACTTTCTCTTATTTGTTATGCTTCTGTCTTTTACTTTCTTTCCGTGGAATATAGGCGCTGTTGTGTGTTGCATGTTATTGTGTAAGTCTAAGGCACAAACTTACCCTCAACTTTTAAGAGTCTCTTCCTGTTTTATCAAGCATTCCTTTGTGCACTTTTATTCCTGCTTCTGATCAGCGATTTCATTCTCATTCAATTCCCCTTCACCTCTTCTCCCCTGTCCTTTGATACGCTAGATTAAGTATATGGGCACACATTGTCTGGCGAAATGAATCTGTATTGCAAAGGACCAACATCCTACTACAATATAAGCTGAAAAGCCCCTTCAAGTACCACATTTTCGTTACGCTTCGTGCAGAATGAAGTTTGGTGGATCAGTCCCTGCAAATGCCCGGACACATCAATTTACATGTCTCCTCTCAACTTCAGTTAATCTTCGCATAACTGTACAACACTCACTCATTACTTTTAACAACACGAGGAGTTTCATAAATTGTATTTCGTACCAAATATTGTTAAAGTCATTTGATACAGAGGCATCGAATAGTCACAGCATAACGCATACCTGTGATACATGAAAAATTCATACTCCATTTCAGTCTGAAATCCTAAATGGAAGAGACTACTTGGAAGACAAAGATATGGATGGGTGTACAACATTAAAATAGTTCTTTTTAAGAACTATGGTGTGAGGATATGGACTAATTTCATCTGTCTTCGGATAGGGTTCAGTAGTAGGTTCTTTGGATTTTGTAAAAGATTTTGAATTCCTTGACCAGCTGAGCGACTGTTATATTCTCGAGAAGAAGGACTATTCTGTCGCATAAGCTTAGGATTCACCGCAACAGAGGGACATTCACCGATGTCCACAGCTACCACAAGTTGTTTATATGTAAAAGAACTGTTTGGCAGATTACTTGAATTTTATAATTTGTAATCTCTGTATATAATACGATTTCGGATAGTGAGCCTTAAAAATAAGGATGAAGATGATACTTTCCTCCGAAATGTTGATAACCACTTACAAGATTACACGGCATCACAACCCAGAATACCACGTTCGACGTACGTATCGCATTATTGCATGAGTAATTAAGATTCGTAAGATTGGCTACAAACTAGAAGACTGGAGTCAACAGCCCAGAGAAGAGGTCGATTAATAGTTTTCGTTTTCTAAACACGTCAAATAAACCAGGCTCAAAAACATGAATTTTTTTGAGCGGCTGTCAGCTTTTCAGTGATGGTCCTGCACCGTGAAATTATTAAGGAAGTTTTAGAACAACGGAAACACAAATCTGCAAACTTCTAAGTGTTCCTTCTTCGGTCGTTTAAAACAGTAATACAGAAACTGGCAATATATTTGTCTCATAATCTCCAAACTTGCCTGTACCAAGAAGAAAATTTCAAAAACTATCACAGAAGAAGGAATTATAGAACTGTGCAAGTGTTTCTACTGTAGTTGCTATGAACAGAACGAGTTCAACAGCGAACAGCCGATCAGGACGAGGACGCGGACCGAACCTTCATCGACCAATAACAAGAATCTTTCCCGGGGAAGAAGAGAAGAGAATGTTCGTAAGTATGATAATGATTCCAAGCCCGAAGCAACAACCAGCTATCTGTCCTTAGAGTGACGGTGGTAGTGGTTGAACAGGGTAGCTTCATCGTCGCCATTCAGGAAAACAAAGTTGGGTTATCTTGGCAAGAATGCCCCGGGACTCGTGATAGCTTAGTCCAGATAGCGCCTTCCTCCTCAGCCATTACACACACAGAAGAATGAATTCGGCGGACGATAAAGTTACGTAGAAGATGGATGTCTTCTGGGTTGTTGCGCCGTGTAGCCTGGTAGAAGCTTACCGACGTTTCAGACCCTCTGAAACGTCGGCAAACAGAAGACAGCCACCTTCAGACTCGCCACCGTGAAAACCTCAAATCCTGAGAGGTTACAACACATTTCTTCAAGTTTTCAAAATAATCTATGTAGGAAAATGAATGGGTACATGTAACATTCAGTATGAAGGAACAATTTTTCCGAAGGGAAGGTTATTACTGTAAAATAAAAAAATACATTAAACATTGTGTTATCGACACGATTTCACCTTACTTTACACATCCTATTACCATAAAGATTTCATCAGATATCAGTATCTCAGTTAAGACAGCCTCTAGCCCACGTGAGATTTAACCTGATAATAATCATAATTGTTATACCTGTATCAACCCGATGTATCGAAATATTAATGAAGGAACTTTGGTCCAATTAAAATGCCTCCAAAGGTAATTACGGTCATTAAATGTACTCGCTTCAGCACTAGACTGTAGATTGTGAAAACGTCATCTCATTGCTTGAAACATAGCATACCTTCCTCCTGCACTAACCTGCTTTATTATTAGAAGGAAAATCTTTCTTTCAAATTAAACTTTTGTACTGCAAAGCCTTGTCAATGAATTAAGACTTAATATAAATCTAATAATCTTAATTAGAAATTCTACAAAACTACAGCTATAAAAGTATAAAAATAATTTAAATTTCATGGCATAATGGAAAGAAAATTATGAACGGAAAGGTGTGAAAGACAAAAGAGGGTATAAAATATGATAAAAGTGAGGAATTTCTATTATTCAGAAGCAGGAACGAGTTATCAGTGTAGCACAATTAGTAGGCCTAAACTGGATACAGCTTCTGAGCCCCTCCTCGTAAATCATCCACACACTAGCCCGTTTCTGATATCCAGCGTTTTCTCAAATAGCTGAATACCTCAGCACGGCGAAAAGCAAACAGGTCGTTCCCACCCTTTCACATACAGAGGTATTTGTGTGAAAAGGTTTGTGTGGAAAAAATAAATTAAATGAATTGTTGGAAATAATTCAACTACAGCTTATACTGGTAAAAAATATTTCTATTATTTAAGTACAAAATGGAAAAGGTAGGGCAAAACCATCCGCACTTGTTACCATGGCGTTGCAGTTTCAGATAAAAATTCTGCTCGTTTCAAAACATATAATTTGTATCCATGTAAATATCCTGTTTTATGTCCATGAGAACGTGAAATTTATGTAAATTCGTACGTACGTAGTTTCATAACGAGTAACCGCAACACGACGTATCGCAGGTTTGTATTCAGTATTCTAAATTCGTACTACACCCTACGATCAAACTTCCTTGTAGCCTGCCTCATGTTCCTATAATGATTTGACACAGAGTCTCGCCGACATGCATCTACATAATTTACCCTGAATTACTTTATTAGTTTGTTTTGATACTCATTTAATTGGCTATGTCGATTCTCGGTTTATTAAACTACGCGTTTCAACGACAAAACATGTACTTATTCTCTATGAACCAATTATGAAAATTTACAAACAAGACCGGACCGCGGTTGAAATCCGGAGTCAGGTCTCATGAAATGTGTATTGTGAACAAAATGCACAAAAATTGGTCACCGATTTAGAAGTTCTGCTAACTTCTCTACACATATTACAAAATTTAATTTAAACTGGGTATTACAAGTTGTTTAGAAAAATTCGCCTTATGAATGTGACTTCGTAACCAAAATGGTCGATCACTCTATTCTGAGTTACTGTACGCCAACACTACATAATCTCGCTGAATTAAATTATTTTAATTTGGACTGCAAACATATTAATGATGTTCACACTACCTCGCAGCTCACTAAAACTAATTACATAGATTTATAACCAATGTTGTATTTACCGTACACAGTCGCAATCATAATATTTATAATGCACAGAAGCAACGTGTGTTATAGAAAACTAGGACGTCCCAGTTAAATATGTTATTTCAGGCGAACTAATTTCATGGCGCTAAAAATAAATCATATGATAAATATAAGATTCAGCGGCAGATTCTTCAGATCACGGTAAGGGACATTTGCATTCCATAAATGGTAGTAAATTCGTTAAGCATCTGATAAAGTTATCAGCTTCTTAAGAATCTCTGATCTACAGAATTATTAGTTTCGTACATATAAACTTACAGCTATTCTTTTAGATATCTCAAGACAGTGTAATGAAAAGGTAAGGTAAGTATCTCAAACTCGTACATTATATTATATCAGCGACTGACCTAATAAAATTGGGAACTTAATACTAAATACCGGGTCTACAATTTATGCTGTAACGGCCTTGCTTGCATTGCGTGCTCGGCCGAGTGCACTGTTGACGTCGGCAGGCTGGCGCGTGTTATTCCCGTGAGTCACAGGCGAATCAGTTTCAGTGCCGCTAGTAACAGCGAACTACGAATATTTCTCGTCACTAACACATGTTATTACATTAATTTTCTTACCTTAAATCACAAAAGATGTTCAAAGTGACTTCCTTGTGCTTGCAGGCAAGCTTCACATCTCGTTAACATGTTTCGAAATACTTGACGAAGCTCTTCTTGGGAAATTGCCGAAATGAATTGTGGTTTCCTGTTCTTCTTTTTATCCAAAACTGATCCCGTACTACAAATTTTTTTTATTAATCTCTCTATCGTGGGCCTGCTAGGAACACTTTCACCGGGAAAATGTCTGCGATATTTACGGCGGCATCTTCCGTAGGATGAATATTTGGCATATGTTTCGACTAAGAACACACGTTGCTTAATACTGTACACCATATTATCAACGTCAATCCGCGACGAGAGACGCAATGAAACTGATTCGCCTGTGTTCACGGGAAGAACACGGACCAGTCCGGCCGACGTCACCAGATCGCCAGCCGACCACGCAACGCAAGCAAGGCCGTTACAGCATAAATTGTAGACCCTAGTATATAATTTCTTCCTAAATCATCCATTTGAAGAGGTTCAAATCACTGGAGAAATGAAACACCGCGTAAAAGATAAATATAATCCTGCTTATTGTAAAATGGCTATCTTCTAGGTTGTAGCGCCGTATAGTCTGTCGAAGTTTATCGACGTTTCAGGGGTCTCTGATGAGTGCTCGTCGCCCTGATAATGGAGGCATCAAGCGATATTCGTACCCAAAGGCGTGAAAACCTCAAAACCTGCTGCCTATTGCAGATATTTCAGCAGCTTTAAAAATAAAGAGACTATGCAAATATATGTGTATAATGTTTCAAAGCAACAAATAGGAGGTTTGAATACGCATTGAACTGATTGTAAGCGTTGACGCAAACCCGCTGAAACCATTGACAATCGGCCAGCTCATGTATAATAGCATCGAAAGAGGGTACAGACACAATGAAGTATATCCATGTATGTATTCTGAATAGACCAGAACCATGCGCAGTTTAGAGAAAATAAAATACATCCTTATATACATGATATTGATATTAGTGTTTTTTCTGTTCGGTAAACATTTCGGTTCATGGAGCTGAAAGTAACGAATTGATAGTGGAAAAGTCTTCATACGGCAATGGCAAAATATCCAATATATCCTACTGATGGAATATAGAAATATATTGGAATACAGAAATCGACAAGAGACCTGTGAAAAAGAAATGGAAATAAAACAACAAAATATAGTTCGAATGGGGTGAGAAGGTAAGCACACAGAGAAGGAAGACAAATTAAGACACAAAGTGACCTAACAAAATGAATTAAAACAGTAAATGTGTAGACTGAACATCGCAAAGCTCAGAAGGAATGTTTAGCGAAATATATAAAAAGCACTGTATTCATCCCTCACAAAGTTCCGGACAAGTGTGCTTAACTGAGCGTGTGTATGTTATTTTGATTATCGACTCAATATATTTTTCATCCCACGATTTTAAAGAGTATGCGTAAATAGCCGCCCTCATCATTCCATACTCTCAGTTGTAAAAACATTAGTCCCTTTATCAAATATTACTTGCCTACACAAAACGCAAATCAACGACAATTAACAAACGAAAAAATTCTATATGAAAACTAATTAATTTGTGGCAGTTATCCCGCAATCTGGTCGCTTCCTTCGAGATATTTTATTCTACGCACTACGCCTACACTGGAATTATATCGTACAGAAAATTAAAGTTTGTACAAGTGAACGAAAATCCCTCGGGCTGTTCCACTGGGTGTTTCCCCGCGCTGAACGGGCTTTTCAATAGATGAACATAGTATAAACAGAACTTATACATTTATTTTTAACAGTACAGAATAACAAAGTTTGTTAAGCTGAAAACGTTTATGCAATCTCTAGTCTTTTAGAAAGTTTCATAAAAATTGGTTCCAATTTTTCAAACCTATATTATAAAGGCAATTAGAAATGGCAAACAAAACAAGGGACACGGAAATCATAAATTCATAGGAAATCTTTGCTTTCATTACTTACAAAAATTCAAAACGTAAGTTAATCAAATTAATAAGATTGGCGAGGCATGTAAAACGCATGAGAGACAAGAAATGTGTATAACATTTTGGTTGGAAATACTGAAGAGAAGAGTGAAGGATAGGATGTGATGTGAAACAACGGTATTCTGAAGCACATCATTACCGTTCATTTAAAAGGGCATCCGCGAGTTTCATAACGCATGCAAGAAACTAGGCCCCGTACTTTAAAACTCGCTAACGTAGGTGGACAATAAAGTAATGATATTAAATTGTGCACTTTGTAGCCACCACAAGTTCCAACTTGAGGAAATGTTCAAAACGTTCAGAGATTTAAAAGAAAAGGTAAATTCGGTAAGATGTCTCTCTACGGAGCACCTACGTAGAATAAAACGTTAAATCAACGGTATATAGAGCAATTTTGTTTCCGAGAATTGCATGATGGGAAAAGTGAGACGGGCCACAAAACTTTCTTATCGGAGTAATGGATTCTTCGACTAAGTTGAGGCGTACTCAAAGGAAAAAAAAAAGTTTTTAAGTGAAGTTTGGTGGAGTTTTGCTCAGAAGAGGTTGAAGATGATAATTAGTTATTAAAGCCATCAAGTGAGATCATAAGAAAACGACCCATCCTCTCAGAATGGTCACAGGAAATCTGTTTTCTCACCATCTACTGGGCTTTAAACGAATGGACATGGCAGAAATCCTTGGCACAAAATATTTTCATAATACCCAAAATTTATAACCTAGTAGTTTCGCTAACTCTGTGTTCCAGGCTACAAAAAAATTAAAGAATTACGATATTTCAAATGTTCATGGAAAGAAATATTTTAATATTAACGTTCCACGATGCGAGGACTCGAAGAAAATTATCGGATCACAAAAAAATAATAATTTGGAACTATACCATATAAAATGTCATAGAACATTCGGTTTATATTCTCCGAAAATGTCATTTATTACGAATCTGTGTAATTATGTTTTATTAACTTACTGTTCGCATATAATGCAAATCTGTTTTATCTTTCCACCCTTCCCTCATAACAACCCTAAGCTACTATGAGCCAATCCCTCGTAATCCTTCATAATGTGAAGCACAGTGCAAATTCTGACAGAACGCTTGGCCACAGTTTAGCCACTGGCTTTGTCTTGTAGCATGCCCTATGGATTACGTCACACAGGTAGTCTAGAATCTATTGTAACATATAATTTCCTTATATATTCTGAATTCGTTCCTCACTGTGAAACAACAAAGGCTGTAGTTACTTGGAAACAAAGTATAATCGATAGACAAGAGATAAAGGTACCGTAGAATGGAAAAGATACGCAGTTGAAAGAAGCAATTATATATATTCACCATCTTGTATTGATCACGTAATTAAAGTAAGGAATTTGATATGTGGTAAAATAAGAGTTATACAGAAAAAATTTATGCAAGGAATCTTCCATAAGGGAGTAAATATATACCAAAATGCAGATAAATAATTATGATTATATTACTCCCAATAATAGACCCATTGTCTATTTAATTAAATTTTCGTGACTAATATTCCAGAGTTATACATAAAGCAGTTATTAGTCTATCAAATGTGTATTTGGTTATTATGCGTTCTTTGCACGAAGTATATGGTGAGAAGGAATTTTGATCTGGGCGTGTCTATCTGTCCGTCTGTCTGTCCAGTCGATTCAACTCGAGAATCACTATACAGTTTTGAATCAAATTTGATGTGGAGGTTGTGTTATTGTGCAAAACTTCAAAATTGTAAGTTTGAATGTCCTACGAGCGGTGATAACATAATGACTGATAAAGAATGTCGCGAGGTAGACCCGAGGTGCTGCGATCTGGTGGACAAAGTGGGAAATATCAAACAAGACTGATTTAATATCTGCAACTTCATTTTGCAAAGAACGCATGAGGATATTATGTGTATTTTAGTACGAAATACACTTTCAGAGCTTGTTTATATCACTGTCATCCTTGTGATAGTGTCTTTAAAATTAGAGGATTCAAATAAAATTCAAATTTCTGTTCAGTGGCGTAACCATCGGCTGCATGCTTTCGGTTCACAGGTAAATTACAGAACTGAACCAATATTGCAATGTTTTCCAATATATGTACCTAATGAGATAAATTGACTTTTTCATCTGATATGTCCCTTGCAGAAGAGGATAAGCCGTCAATAGCCCGCAACATTATTTAATTAAAACGAACCCACAGTAGGCTTATAGGCCTATAATGTGACACAGACTAAGAACAAAACAGGCACAAATCTCACACGGTTGGTATAAATTTTTATTTTAAAACAGGGCACAAGATTTTGTTCTGACCAAAATAACTTTTGGTCCGCTATAATGAGAGCTCACACGGTTAGTATAAAACTTTATTTCAAAATATCACAGTTCTTGGATAAACAAGATTTTTTAAAAACAATTTCCACAACAATTAGAAGTAATTTAGTCGGTGTGTGACTGAAGATCCTTGTGACACTTTTACAAGTCTATAAAAAAATCTAGAACAATATAATGAATTCGAGTACATTCAGTGCAACTCTCTCGAAATAGTGTGAAATTAAATAAGATTCTATTTCCCGACATTATACAGTCCCATAAGTCCAGGGACCGGAAGGAGTATGCCATTTGGCTCAATGCGTAAAAATGTGTAAAGGAAAATGTTTTTGGAAATCATATGTTTTCAACCCCAAATGTTGGATTCTTTACCTAGGACACGCCGTCACAGCACTATACTTTTTGTACTATCAATAATAAAAAATTTCACTTATTAGGATAGACTTTTCACCTGACATTACGATATTACTGATGGCAGTAATTTGAAAGGTGCCCGGTATAAATATGCAGTGGTCTCTGTAGGCACATCTTTCTTTAAAACGCAATAAATAATTTCTTCCTTCCTACTGTGCTGGCAGTTTTTACAGTGTCGCGCTCTGCAGCTCACAGGATGGAAAATTCTCAATGATTTTATCTGATTCCATCTATCCATTGCGTCCGTCTATTCTTTCGTATTCTTCCAGTTTCTTACATCATTCTCTGTTCCTCCAAATCTGCGCACCAATAATTAATATTCGGAGGCGTTATGAACCAGCCCACCCCGTGCAATTACACACTCCAGGCGTCTGGCGCTGTAACAGCACGCGCCACAGTAACGGCGGTGGAAACTGAGAGGAAAACCTTTTCATTTCCCTTTTAATTAAGTAGAAGTTTCGATTGAGATCGGCTCCTCGAGGTCGTTTGGGTCGGGTGATTAACATTTTAAGATGGAGAACTGAGAGCACGATGAAGGGGTCTAAAAGAGTAAAATATAAAATTAGGAGACTTCAGAAACTTGACAAATATTAGAAAAAATAAATGATAACGAACGGAAGACACAAACGATCAAGTAATTTTGATTGCTTGTGTCTCGGCTCTTACTATTTGCGTGATGAATGTGATAACCAATTTTATAAACATTTGTATGTGTCAAATTACGAAATGTCACACCTCCTGTGATATTATAGAGAAGTTTTAAAGTAATTCTTATTGAAACATGTACTGAGGAAAGGACAGATATTAAATTTAAATAAAAGCAAATATTTTAAATATTATCGGAGGAATATAAGACTACCAAACTACCTGAGTGCAGCAAATATACAGAATGAAGACAAACAGATTAACGAAACACGCTTTTTAATACACACCATTAAGGCCAAATGATCCCAGACGTCTGAATCAAATGCTGAGGGATGAACTACACCCAGAAGATGGCAATGATGATGACGAAACGAATATACCTGGAATTAAAAGTGGCAAAATTCATGGAATGTACAAAATGAAATATAACTTAGCGAAGATGAAATTTCAAGTTCTCATGCTAAGATACTGCCTTGTGGGACGTTGCGCTGTGAAGTCTCGTAGAAACTGACTTGACGTTTCGGACGTTTTTACAGCCTGCATCATCAGGGTAACCGAATGTACGTACGAATTTACTTTCTCAAACTGGGTACAATGTAACTTCCTAAGTACAATATAAGTGAGCTGAAATTAGCACGTTCCAGTTTTTCTAAAGTCTCCTGTTCACAATTTATACAACTTAAGAATTTCCTTACAAATTTTTGACACATCACATATATACAAAACTTAAATCGGTATGCGTCTTGTTAATTTTGTACCATATAACAACATAATAGACACAATCAACAAAAACAGAGGTTAAACATGTTTCTTTAAACCCCATCTCCGTCAACAAAAATCCCCACATTGACGCTCTTTTTAAGCACAATGTACACTATGGAGTACCCACTCCATCCTTTCACAGATAAAAGCAAAAGAAAAAGTCAGAGTTCTAACGTTATTCGTGCTCATATAAAAGAACAATGTTCTTGCATACTACCAACGCACTGAAATAACATCTACTGAATTCTCAGAATTTGAATCACCAACGTAAACTTACAATATCCGCCTTACTTTCTGAAAGGAAATGGACAAGAAAGGATTTTGTTAGAATTGTGGAATTCCTGCAACAGAACTAGTATAAAAAAAACAGAATTGGAAATGGTACAGTCAATAAAAAAACCTAGAACATGTTGACTACAGAGTCACAAGAATGAAAACGGAAGTGAGAAAATTCACAGGTTTTAAAAAAAATACTTCAAAACATGACTTAACATTCCAGAGGACGGCCATGTTATTCCCGTGACGTCATGTGACGTGACCGAAGGCGAAAAGACAATGGCGTTTGGGGACCGTGTTTCATAACCGCAATCCGATAACGTAGCCGACTCTAACACAGTAACAAAATTCACCCTTTCACAAGTACTGCCATGTAACACGACCTTCAAACCTTCCTAAAATGGGATCATAAGCACTGATTACATTAAAATGTCTATTTACTCGCCAGATGTGTCCGCACGGGAAACTCAGATGATGTTTCATAACTGCATAATGAAATATCACGACATTAATGCGGAGAGTAGGATTAGCTAATCACAGCAGCAAACATTTGCCCCAGTCGGTCATGAACGTAATCTGCAATCGGTGATTTCATTGATCCGACACTCAGCACCGAGTATATAAACCAGACGAAGTAGTTTGCCAAAATCACGTACAGAGAGCGTAGAAATCCTCGCTGCTCAGCACAGCACTTCGCTAAATTAGCTATCAGTGAAACCAAAACAAATACAATACACCTTTACACATGTCACAATTTACTTTGTTGGCATATCGTATCATATCGTGCCGCTGTCACGAGATCATCATCGCAGTAAGCATCTCTGAAACGTCGGTCAGTTTCTACCAGCCCACGCGACGTAATATCCCCGAAAACTCATCAGTGACATATGAATTCTTACTGAAACAACTAATGGTAGCAGAATCCTGACTGGAAGAAACACAATGTAAATTGGTATATGTTCCTGTTACCTCCATCGACAGCGAACCTATCTGAACGGCGACGCAATGGCTGGCGACCTGACACATACAAGAGCTCGACGTTTCGTATCGAACAGATTTTCATCGAAGCCCAATATGAAAAGAATATGGAAAATATATTTTCTCCAACCTTCGCTCTCTTAAACTTTATTCACAGAAAGAATAGAATCTGGGCAGCCTCTTCCTTTCTGGAAGATGGTTTGTTGTTAAGAAATGAAATTCGAAAGATGAAGAAGCAGTGACCTGAACATTTAACAGACTTTCAACATTAAAGAAACGACTGGCTTCTGGAAGGAAATATTTCCAAGAGTTTAAGAGAAGGTACCTGAAGAAATAAGACCATATTTTAATATCTTATATTATAGGCCACAGTGCACAGGAAGTCACAGTCCATTTGTAGGATTACATTATGTTTCACTTCATGTGAAATAAAGAACGCGCGATGAAATCAACAGAATATAAATTCTTAAAACAATTACGTATTGCATTAGGTTCGCTTTTAAAAATATTGCTAATATTGCACAGAACGTCTCGTAACTCCCCCTTCGTATGAGGGAGACCCCGGGATAAAATCACGGACAGAAGAACGTATAGTTTAGCTGAAGGATTTCGTGCATTTTCTCCGTGTCATCAGGCAAATGTCGATGCAGTACTTTACATTACACCACGAGAGCATCTTTGTTTATTACTGATTAGCCGTCTTAACTACCGACGCCATAATATGTGTATTACTGAGAGCGTCTTTAAATAAATCACAGATACCTGAAAATAAATGATAATACACAGCTAAAGTAAGAGGTTAAACAGTTAATTAGGAAACCCATTATATTTATCCCTCGAAGATCCAAGTATTGCACAAACTACACTGAGCTCAAACGCACTTAAATTTTTTCTTCTCTTAGTGTAAGAATATATTTTCAAAACGTTACCTAACCTAACATAACTAAACCTAACCTAAAATAACCTAACATAACCTAACCTAACATAACATAACCTAACCTAACATAACATAACCTAACCTAACATAACCTAACCTAACCTAACATAA